ATAAATAATTACTAGTTATTATTAATATCTATTGTATAATTAAAATTAATTAATAAAGTTTAATTACTATAATTTAATATTTACGAATAATTAACATTTATTTATAATTATTCAGTAAACTCGTTTTATGCAAAATAAGTTTTTTTCCGCTTCTAAAATTGTCTTTCCCAATTAAAAAACGTGTTTTTTCCATCAATAAAAACTCTTTCAAACACAAATATTCTTAATCTATACAGATAAATTAATTCACATAAATAACTTTATTAATACAAGACTTTATAAAAAATCAAGCAAATAACTTTTATTGTAATTATTTTTACATTATATTTATGCAAAAATGTCTTATCAATAACATTTTAATATAGTTTATTATATATCCACAATTATGGTATAAATATCTTTAACAATTACTTTATATATAAAGAATATTTTTCCATTAAAAAATAGCTATTTTTAAAAAGTATATATGTAATAATTATTAAAATAAGTTTTATTTAAATATAATAATAGCCTGAGTGACAGCAACCATAGCAACATTGTCGCAATTGCAATCATATACTTGTCGTTTAAAACATTATTATATAATAATCGTCGGTTTTTTTTATTGTTATTTAAATAAAAAGGGTCTTCACTTCTCCTCAACTTTAGCTCAAAAATTTCCATTCCCATTCCCATTTCACTTTTGTCTCTACCCTCCTCTCTCTTTCCAAAAACTGCTTTCTTCTTGATTTTCATTTCTAGGGTTTCTCAATTTCTTTGCAAACAGTCTCCTTTGCTTGTCGTATACAGATTTCTCTCGGTAATCGCTTCTCTGTTTCTGCATTATATAAACTTAACCCCTGCTTTTTGCTAACATTTTTTTGGCCAAGAGCTTCGATCTTTCCTGGAATTCTTTTCGTTTTTCAGATGTTTGTTGACAAACCCTTTTTGAAATTGGTATCTTCTTTGTTGGGTTTTCTTTGATTTCTATTTTTGTTGTCTGTTCTGTGGTCAATTGTGATTTAGGGTAGAACTTTCTTGAAAATACTCAGGAAATTTGGAAGAAAAGTGGTGGTGGTGGTGGTCTGTTATCAATTCTTCTGTTGGGTGGAAGATTAGTGGGTAAATGCATGGATGGAAGGGAAGGAATGACGTCGTTTTACCTGAATAGAGGGGGGGTTAGTGGGTCTGGTAACCAAACTGGCGGGCTACATGTCTCTCCACCTGGTTTCAAGACTCAATCGAACCCAAACATGCCTCATGGTCACACCAATATCAGAATGCCCTCTTCTATGGCTTCATCATTCCAAGTGGAACACAACTCATCCCCAAGTTTGCCTCATGGCATTAACATGGCCGCCGGTGGCGGCGGCGGTGGTGGTGTAGTCTCCATTACTACTCCAGGAAGTGGGAATGCTTCTGTTGTAAAGAAAAAGAGAGGGAGGCCTAGGAAATATGCACGAGATGAGTCTGATATGGAGCTGGGGCTAACACCGGCTTCATTATCGGCTTCTCTTGGCTCGATCACTCCAACGATGAGAAAGAACAGAGGGAGGCCTCCAGGCAGTGGATGGAAGCAAAGACTTGCGAATGTTGGTATGTTTTCTTACCAACTTCAGTTGCTTTATATCGACAACGTGCAAGAACTTATACATATCGATAACCAGAAATTTTATGGCATTTGGAGATGGTGTTTATATTGTTAACTTATTAGAGGTGCATAAACGTGAGCTATGAGTATAGAAGAGAGTCAATTTATCATATATTTGTTAGTAGCGATCGATCTCTAGAACAATTATAAGTGGTTTTTGTTGCTAATTGACCATTTTTACTGTGAAAAATGCACAAGAAATGGTGTAGTTTGTGAGAAATTGCAATGAAACCGTCGTGCTCGTTCTTGCAAGGTCGAATGTTCTTTCTATGTTTTGGCAAGAACGGTTTTTTTCCCCAATAAAAAGTGAAGTATGATGGTTCCAAAAGTTAATCAATTTATTTGTTGTTGTTATGATGGTTCGACATATCTGCACACCACCAGATCCTCGGACGTATATTATCACATGTGATAAAAGTGTTTTCGTTTTCTCTTAAAATGTGGGTGGATGTGGGTGTTTTTTTTTGAAGTATATAATATTTATATACGGCAAATAGAACAAAATAAACTCGCACACCCTCTTCACCTTTGGTGAAGCTTGAATCCTTGATCTCGTAGGAGGCTAAAGACTCACATACCGTTAGGCCAAAGGCTGTTTGGTGTGAATGTGTGTGTTCTTTTTTGAACCTCCACGCCTACTTTAAAGGAGCAGGGGGCTCATGAATCCGCTCTTTCTGGTTGTTTTCTTATAGAAATGTTGTTTCTTTTGTAATCAGGTGAATGGATGAATAATTCAGCGGGATTGGCTTTTACACCTCACATCATCCATGTATCCACTGGAGAAGTACGTGTTACCCCTTGTATCTGCTAAAATACACACATTTTTCTCGTTTGACACAGGAATTGGTCTTACTCGATATAGCTAACCAACAATTAATATGTTTCATTTGTAACCACATTATCCGTTGCAGGATGTTGCTGAAAAGATATTGTCCTTCGCGCAACAAAGGCCGAGGGCCCTTTGCATCTTGTCGGCCAATGGAGCCGTTTGTGCAGTGGCACTTCGTCAGTTTACATCTTCTGGCGGCGCTGTTACATATGAGGTTCGGGCACTTGACTTCTTTATACTTGCGGTTATTTTGAGCCATTACTAAACTTACGTGATTTTGGGGCAAGTGTCTTGTACCGTTTCTTTATATTGTTCTCCTTCAATCTCCGTTTTTGTGGGTCCCATTTGATGGGCATTGTTTCACCGATGCCTGTAGATTGGCTGGAAATCTGTATGAAATTGGAATGTATACAGTATATAACTTATTTAGTTATATAAAGGTTTACAACGGTAATATTTTTATCCTTAAGTATTTACTACAAAATACTTGTCAGACGACCATTTTGGGTCCTTGCTTACCCCGACTGAACCTCTTACCCGGACCGCGTGCAAATGACCCTTTAGTAGGCATTGTACTATTGTAATGATTTGAACAAGTAACATGATCCAGACTGGGCCATTGAGTTTGACTCCGTGTTGACCTTTTTGTGTTTTAGGGCCATTTTGATATATTACACTTATCGGGTTCGTATCTACTTTCGGAAAATGGTGGTCCTCAGAAACGGACTGGGGGTCTCAGTATCTCGGTCTGTAGTGGTGATGGTAATGTCATTGGAGGCGCAATTGGCGGTAGGCTCATTGCATCCAGCTTGGTGCAGGTATTATTTTCACACATAATCGAAGTTAGTTTTAAAACTAGGGGTATGCAGAAACTCATGTGATCCAATTATAAATGAAAAACGATTGATACCAATTACAACTGATCATGCGGTTTTGGTGTTATAGGTGGTGGTATGTAGTTTCGTGTATGGTGGTAATAACGTCAAGGCGAAGACGAAAACAGATGGACCTTCAACAGATGACGGTATTGAGCTCAACGAGACTAGTCCTACGGCTAGCCAACACCAAACTCAAAGTCCTGTAGCGATTGGTTGGCAACCAGATTCACGAGCCAGCCTGAGAAACTCCCGTACTGAGATTGACCTTACCCGTGGATGATTCATCAGGTCAGCGTTTCTGTATAGGTATGTTGTACATGAATCCTGCAGGAATTGAAAAACCTACAAGAGAGATTATGCCCTCTGCTTATTTGTAGATTATAGTCGGGTTGTGCTAACATATCTGTAACTAAGAAATCGACCATATTTTATGGTATTTAGGAGATTATTAGTCTTTAAATGTTCCATTGTGATTTCTCTAAAAACCCAGGTTTTCTCTGCTAAAATTTGATGGTAAATTCTCTTCTTGAGTTCTTGGTGGTTCATGTAGATTATGTTTTCCGGTGTTCAGTGTTCATATCTGTGTGTTTAGTACGTGTGACCTGACAGAACAAAAACTTTTGTTATACGTTTGGTGCGACATGAGAGGACCAAGTGGGACAAAAACGCATTTTTTATTGTCAAAGCAAAATAGGTGGAACAAAAAGCAAGAAACAGGACGAGATTGGGAGATTAAGGTCCTATCTGCGTATCAAAGCACCCATAGGAAGCTTCGTGTTGCGATCCTATGATGAAGCATCCAGGAGCCCGATGAGTTTCTGCACGTCTCTCTGCAAAAGGATCGCAGATTTAAGAGCAGTAAAAGGAACCCGACACAAAAACCTGCATGAAAACTGACTAGTTGTGGAACCGATTCTTTAGAAGATGGTTTTTTTTTTTTTTACCTCAATTGTAAGAGGTGAAGTCGTGGGGTAATAACGTTGGACGGGTTGTCCGTTCTTATCAACCAGGAATTTAGCGAAGTTCCATTGAATGTCGTCCCCAAAGATCCCCCATTTTCCCGACTTCAAGAACTTGTATAACGACAGACTGTTTTCGCCATTCACTTCAATCTAATAAACGTTGAACGATTAGAAGTCAAAATAACATGCATCTTCTCTGAACAACTTGTATATCACTTCCAATACTGTTTATTTACGAAAAGACATTGCAATCTGAAATCTTAATGACTATATTTGGAATTTTTGTGTCAGTTTATGCGTACTGACTAATCCCCGGGATACTATGAAGGGACTAAAATTATCGCAGGTGAACCTCCATGGCCACAAGGGCTTTTGCATCGCCTCGTTTCGAACCAAGGGAACATGAAATTTCTACTACCCCCAATGAGCATTAACAACCCAAGTGGTTATGAAATTAGGATTTTACCTTGTCAAAAATGGGGAATTCGGATTTGAATCGGGTGCAAACAAACTCTAAAATTTGATCGTTGCTTCCAGGCTCCTCGTCGCCAAACTGATTGCACGGAAACGCTAAGATCTCGAAACCTACAAACAGTAAACAAATACAACATGGTTCAACAATTTGTCTGCATCCAATGATCCAAGGTGATGTGTTTGGCTTTTTTGCTTAATTATTAAGCATTGGCCGGAAATAACTGAATTGTACAAACTATTGTCAAGTATTAATAGAAAAAAAAAGCCTCCATGGTCCAAACTAAATCATAATAAAACCAAGTTTATAGAATACGTTCATAACCCGAATCAAACAAATGATTAATCAAACAAGAAAACGAACCTTGATCTTTGTATTTTGCACGAAGTTGATTCAATTCGGCATAGTTGGAATTCGTCAACCCGCTGCCACAAAGAACCAACATTTCGTAAGTAGAATGCTAGAATTCCACAAACATACATCGTATTGGGAAAACAGCACCATGATCAATATAAGTAGCAGAAACAACGAAAAAACCATACCATTTGGAGGCAACATTGACGACAAGTAGAACTTTTCCATTGTAGATGCTAAGATCCACATCCATTCCATTACTATCCTGCAAATAAAGAACCAACAACTTCTATTATCCCTTGAGTGGGGATGCTAAAGTTGACAACTGAACCGGCGATTAAAGATTAGGATTATGGGCTCCTCCACGTAGGTCGCCGGTTCGAGTTTAATCAGAGCCACATCTCAATTCTTTTTATAAAATTTGAGCTTAAAAAATTATCCTATTTGACTTGAAAAAGTCAAAATCGAGGGCATCAAATTGCATAAAACCCTGGGTTTCTGGGTGTGGCAATACAGAAGAAATCAGGATTTCTTTAAAACGCATCAAGAATCAATTCAGTATCAAAGGGTGTCGATCTTTAAACATCAAAATGTTTCTCTAATCAAAAAATTAAAAAACGAAAACCCTCACCTCAATAAGCATAAGCTTAATGAACACTAGATGCTTTCCAATAAGTAGGTTCAGATCAAGATTTGATGATAAAGAAGATGAGATTTCTTTCTAACAAAATGGAAATCATATAACATGTGCATAGCTAAAGGAATGGTTTACCTTGACTGTGAAATCATTGATGGATTTAGGGTGGTTTGCCATGGCTGTGTGGATTTTGGTAGATTAATGGCTTCAAATCAGCAAGAGTAAAGAAAGAATGAAGGGTGAAGAAGACACAATTGTCGTCCACTGGGTTATGAATTATGATTCCAATTTCCACCAACAATATTTAAGTATTCATCATTAAATTAAATAAATCCACATTATTATTTTATAAAAATAGACATACTTTAAAAAACAACAATTAAATATATATTTTTTTATGCAAAGTAGGTTATCCTGCATGTTTCATACCCCGGAGACAATTTCTGTTTATTTCTATAATGTTTCGATATTTTTGTATGCTTTACATCATTTATTTAGTAATGATGCAGTCATCATTGGTGCACCTATGCTTGTTTTACGTAGGTAGCATTGCAATAAAAATATATATCTAGGAACAACCAATAATAACCCGTCTAGAAAAAACACGTCGAAACTAGATATTATATGGTCCAAACTCGAATGTCTAGGACTGATAAATTATAGGTGTTTTTGACCCAATAAATTACAACAAAAATCCCCCAATGGCAATTTGGGTATTTTCATTCACCTTGATCCAAATTCAATGTTTTAACCCTCTCAACCAAATTGTCAATCGTAATGGAGAATGCATCTTGAAACATTTCAAATTTTGCATCTGGATCCCCATAAACCAACCTTGGCATCAACTCATACACTATATATCTTCTCATGTCATCCCTTTCTTTCAATCCCACCTTCATCAACCTTTCCACCACATTTACCTTCTTCTCCCTCACCTCTTCTTGATCAACAAATACTGAATACTTCCCATGATCCTCAGGCAAATGCCATGGGTATTGATAGTATGCTGTAAACGGGTCGAAAACCACCGGAATACACCCCGCCACCAACGAGTCAAACACCGATTTCCTAGTCGGGCTATCACCCGGAGGTTGAAGACAGAATTCAGACTCTGTGAATAGCCCTAGTAGTGATTGGGGCTCGTCACAGAGCCCTGACTTACAATCGAAGAACCTGCAGTGTTCTTCGGTTGTTGACGTGCATTGGTCTATTAGGATAGACCTGATGTTGTCTTGGGCACCGGGACGGGCAGCACCGGCGAAGCTGACGAGGCTTCGCCGGTTTGATGAGATGATCTTACGTTGCCATGAACGGATGTCTTCGTCGGAGTTTGGGTGGAAGTGAGTCGGGTGAGGGATTCCGATGTCGTTGAGCTCCCATGGTTGTCGTTCAATCATGAGCTTTATCGGGTTTTGCATCTCATCGAGCTCTAGAAATCTAGTCCCCCATGAAGAGACATTCCTCCTCCTGAAATCCCAAGAAATTTTTCCTAAAACAAAGACATGATCTTTGCCTAGATTCTTATCCCATGGTTTTTGCATTTCTAGCCAATTTACAAGTTCTAAACCCAAAGAATCTTTAACTTCATTAGAAACATTCTTGAAATGCCATCTCAAGATGTCTAATCCACCATAGTATGGAACATAGAAGAGTTTGGCTTGGTTTTCGTCATAAACACGACACAGGTGCTTAAGAACTCGGGAATGGAAAATCAATTCCAAAGAGTACTGATGAGTCCGAAACCAACGGTTCCCGAGCTCAGGTATAGGCTCGCCCAATGCATTGTTACTAAAATACTTGCACATATCGACCCATGGAACCATGTCATGACACTGGGCCATCAAATCCTTGTTGAACTTCGGTGGCAACTCGTAGACATAGATTCCCCGTCCCTCACACTGGTTTCGGTTTTGATTCCGTTTTGCAGTCCATGACCTATGGACTTGTAGCTGCTCTTCCACAACTTTCTTTGCTTTTTTGATCTCCTCAATCCCATCATCTAGAGAATTAGGGTTTTTAAGAACGACATCAGAAAGTTCCTTGGAATCGCCACTGAGGTCATCCATGACCTGAACCCCATCAATCCCGACTCTTTTCTCGACAAAAGTAGTTGCGTTTTCAACATCAGACACTTCTTTGGAAATGGGGTTGACCCCATCATTCCCAACTCCTTTTTCAAGAAAAGCAGTTGAGTTTTCAACATCTGGGACTTCTTTGGAAACGGGGTTGATAACCCCCTCATTCCCGACTCTTTTCTCAAGAAAAACAGTTGGGTTTTCAACGACGTCAGAAACTTCTTCGGAATCACCCTTGAGGTTCCGGTTAACAGAATTGTCAGGAATAGTGAAACCCTTTTCCTTCTCTAGTTTCTCTTCAAGAACAGGAATTCCATTTTCAAGAAACTCTTGAGAACTAGAATTCGTGAACGGGAGATGGAATTCAGCATTGGGTTGGGTGGTGGCGGAGAGACAGTAGAGGTTGCTCAGCTTACGAGAGGAGACACAAACATGAACAATCCTACCGGAAATATACGTGGTGGAGGAAGACCATACCAACATCAAAATCATGAAAAAGAGAGCGGCCGGAAGCGGATACACGAACATCGCCACACACGAACGGAAACAACCTCTTCTAGACTCGACCCTTTTCGGTATTTTCGATTTCCTCTTAGACAACATTGTCGCCATTTTTCTAGAGGGAGGAAAGGCACTCAATCGAATTCAGATTTGGAGTTTTTCCTGAGCTTTTCTAGTCAAGAAATGGTGCAGTTGTGGCTTCTAAGAAGCATTTCATCAAACAACATGAGTGCACGTAGAGCCTTAATGCATGATTAGAATACGTGGAGGCACGATTATGATACGTACATTATTTAACACAAAATCGTCAAACCCCAATCATTTAACTTGATTAATTGGACCAAAATTCTACAAACAGTTTGGCTTTTTTTTAACCAACAATCCATACTTAGATTAACATGATGTCCCTGTCAAGCAAATCCTGGTTATTATCTTGTTGAACTATCGTCAAGAAATAATAAAACAATATATAAATATTTATTAAACAATCAGAACAGTTACGGTTTTCAAAGTACAACCTAAACAACAGAGGTTACAACATATCTTATTTGTCGATCAGTTGGCTAGCGGACCCAACCGTCTAATGAACCGAGCTATGTAAGATCCTCACAGCATACTGTCGGTCCTAGCCGGCAGCCTTCGGAAGAAGTTAACGGGCACAGAGGGGAGACGATGGCGAAACCTAGGGTGCCTCATCATAAAAATCCCAATCAGAGCTGCGATCGCTTGAAACGGTGTCACATACAACACGATTGCTGCAACTAAACATAATGTCACGAAGATAGCTGTGGCTCGAGGGTCTCGCCAGCTCAGCAGTGACTGCATCCTTTCTCCTTGGGTTGCAATGTCCCCCACCACGGTTTGTATCCTCCCAGCCACACTTCGTAGACGGTCGTACCTCATTCGCACCAGGTCCGGGTTCCGGCTCGTCGGGAACGTGTCGAATTCTTCATCGAGCTCGTCGGGGTGCACCCCTTCGGCTTGGGAAATCTTTGTGTTCATGTGGGGTGGGTACCGAGGACGGTACCGGAAATTCCATATCCCGATCAAGAACATGTAGAGGAAAACTGTTGGCAAGATTAATTCCGGGAAGCAAACAAGCATGATGAAGAGGACATGAACGAGGACCGTGGTGATCGGGTTCCGCCACATACAAATGTCGCCAAACCACTTTGAAACGGCAAACAGTGGCGCAAAAATCGTCATTAGCCGGAAAAAGTTGGCTTTGCTCCGCCGCATGCTCCAGAGGTGGGAATCGACATCCGACATATACTCCACCACCTCCTTCCGTAGCGGAGGCTCCGCCCGACCCAGCCTAGCGGCAACAATGTGCACCGCCTGGTGGCGCAACATGTCGAGTTGCATAACGCTGAAAGGCCGAACATAGTGCATTTTCGGTAACAAGGGGCGCGAGTAAGTATAAAGCATGTTGACAAAGTTGGTGCACGAGAACCGGATCGCCAAATGGACCTCACCCATTTTCTTCACACCTGCCGGGTGTAACACAAGCAACGGATACGAATGGGTATAGACCCGACCTGCCTCGAGGGTTGAAATACGGATCCTGACTTTCCCGATCTTCAAATCTTTGCTATTCGAACCCTTGTCCCCAAGCTGACTGTTATCGAAAACACCAACGGTAAGAACCGTTGCAGTATCAAACACCTCCCACGTATACTGCTCGTTATACTTGGGACACAGGTTATCGACTATGGTTCGGGTTCTGACCCATTTATGCCCGTATTTCGCTACACAATAAGTATCAGAGGTCCCTCTTCCATCTCGGGTTTTCATTGGGTGCAGCCCGACAGCATTCAAAATCCCGAGCTCCAAAACCCCGATTGTTGGCTTCCAAAGCTGTTTTGCAGTCGGTCGAAGATCGCTACTATAGTGAGTCGACTCATCAAGAACATGATAACCCCCATCAAGACAGATCCTGAGATGAATTCTCATCGAAAACTTATCTTTCTTCAGCTGGTCGACATCAACTACAACGGGCTTTTCTAAATTAAACCATCGAGAATGGATCATCCGATCATCGGCCCGTTTTTCGACCATGTTCAACGGTATGATCACTCTCCCGAGAATCTCGTCTTTTCCCGGACCCACACGGTCCTCAACCGTGAGGATCAGATGGTCCTCGAAAGGCTCGGCTGCAACAAACAGTAGATCCTCGTTCCATAACGGGTTAAGTGATCGAGCCTGGACCGACTTCGTCTTCATAACCTGGCTTCCAATGTGAGCCTTCACATAAGTATCAGGGAAACGAGTCTTATCTGTGGGAACCAAGTCTTGAGCCTCGATCACATTGACTCGAACATACCATAATCGTGGTGCTTGATAGACCTTCGATCGTATCAGCACTGAGGCTGCACCCGAACTGTCAACCGGGGTGGCTGCATCCGAGTGCCATGCATCGGGAAAAGCTTCGTCGGCTTGAGTCCCAATCCAGACAGCTAGCATCAGCTCGCTCTTTATCCGCTCCCCCTTCTTGTCCTCGAGTCGGTACCATTGCGGAGCTAACGGGCTATCGGGTGGGACCCGCAATGGAACCTCGTTCAGGTCAAACCTCACAAACCCGACAAAATCGTCTTTCACCAGATCCTTGTCTTTTACGACGACTTCGAGTACGTTAGCTTGCATCCTCTCCCTCGAGAATGCGAAGACAATATTCCACATCGGATTCTGGTTTTTCTCCACATGCCTCGTAACACCTTTATAGTTCCCAATCCTAACCTCAACATAAGGGTCGAGGCTTCCTGTGATATCCATAGCCGGAAGATCACGGGCCTTGACAACCCGTACAAACAAGAAATGCATCTTTTCAACTAGATCATACGTAGAAGAAGCTTTATCGGTACGAATAACCCGCCCTCCGACAACTCTCCCGCCTCCCAGATACGGGCTCGTCTCCTTAAGTGCATAGTCCACGGGCTGGTTTGACGATTCTGAGTACATCCGGACGAGCTTTGGCGGTTGTGGTGGTGGGTTGGGTTTTATCTGTTCATACCCATATCTCATCATAGGCGGCGGGGCAGCGGGAACGGCGGCATTGGCCGGAGCTTGGGTCGGATGAGGGAGATGATGAAAGGTGTGTCTCGTCTCACTTTTTTTTACGGGCTCCTGAACCGATTCGGGGTGCGTTTGAGAGTTCCGTGCCATGCTAACAACCGGGTCAGAAGACTTTATGGTCGGATCATCAGTGATATAAACCTTAAGCCCGAGTTCTCCTCTAACACGAGAAAAGATCCCGCGTTTCTCTAAAGGGTAGTGCAAGACGACAGCATCGGAATACGGAACAAACGAAGTTCCAGCTATGGAAACTTTACCTAGAAACGACCTCGAATGAGTACCTTTGACATTGTTGTACACAAAGGCATCGAGCGTGAGATTCGGGAGGATTCCAGGGTCAGAGATATTGAAGTAGAAGCTCTCATCCCAAACCGGGTCCAGGTCTTTTTCCTTAACTGTTGTTCGGTACTTTTGACCATCAAAATAAAGCTCAACAAATGCGCTCGATGAACCTTGACCGTCTTTCGGGAGAAGATTATGGGCTCCAACTACATCTACTCCGAGCTTAAGATTCGTATTCATGCCGGAAATTCAACTACCGATAAATGATAGATCACTCAAATGAACCTGAGAAACAAGAAAACAACACAAGATCTAGAGTTATTTAAAAGAAAGATAGATTATTAAACAAGAGTCCTCTTCTTTTACAAACCCAATAATTCGTATAAACTAACAAACCAGTTTTCACGATATGAAACGACGTCGTGTGAAAACACAGTGTTTATACAGTGTTGTTTCATATTCAGCACAGTATTTTTTAAGTGTTACTAAGTTTGTAAATGATTATGCTTTTATTAAACAATGTAGTATGCTGATCTAACTTTATGGACAGATCCACGAACTCAAAGTTAACAGATCCACGAACTCTTTAAACTAATAATTAATTAGTTTAATTTAATAATATAAAATAAGATCCAAGAAGTGTATACAAAAATGGCTGAAAGTTAAAGTAAAGGGGGCCCTAAAGTGAAGGTAAAGACACATACATGATGCTTAGACTGTTCAGCACATGAATCAAAAGTTTTAAGAAAAGAAATAAAACAGGGAGCTGATCTCATTAAGACAAACTTACAGAAAGCAATCCATAAACAAAAAGCACTCATAATCCATACAAAAGAAAGGACACTCACTTTAATCATTTGATACAAAAGTTTTAAGATTCTTTCATAAAATTGGCTGATTCTTTAGATTTAAACATATTCATGCAAAACCCCCAAAAAATCAATCACTTGGGCATGAACATCAAGATTCAAATGATGACAAGATTTCAAGATTCTTGGATGATATTGGATTTAACAAGGTGGTGATGCTTCAGATTTCAACAGAATAAGAGGGATTTATGTATAACCCACAAAGATCCCATCATTAGAAGCTAATAAGTTGTAAAAAAAAGGCAAGCACTTTTAACAATTTGCATATCTGTAACACAAATCAAAAGGAAAAAAGATTCAAGATTCTTGAAAATCAAAAGCAACAAAAGATTCAAGATTCTTGGATGGTAATGGGTATAACAAGGATTCAAGATTCTTAGATTTAAACAAAATTTTAATGAATTTACTTAAAACCCATCACACAAAGCTACTAATCTGTTTAAACAACACTGGAAATTTTGCAAACTAACACCAAAATCAAGAGCAAGTTTTAGGATCTTCATGAAATGATGCTTAAGATTTAAAGAAATACATGTAAACCCCACAAAAACCAGATCTCAGTTGACTAAAACCGACCAACAAATGCATAAATTTTGGTTTTAAATCAACAAAAATGGGAGCTTTAACAATCTACAGAAAAGAAAAGAAAGAACTGCCCACTTCAATCATTTTCAAATGACCAGCAAAAGACAATAGCAAAAAAGAACTTCCAAAGAACAAGCAGATTACTCCAAACCCCACAAAAACCCAGATCTCATATGCCTCTTAATGAAGAACAAAAAGCAAGACTTTCCCTTTTCAGACAACAAAACTGGGAGCTCTAACATCTGTACAGAAACACCAATCAGTCAAGAAAGTATAATCTTTCTAGATTATTACACAGGATGGATTACAGAAACAAATGCTTCAAATTCCAACAAATTTCTCTAAACCCCCACAAAACCCCAGATCTCAATAGTCCCACAATGAAGAACAAAAGGCACCAATTGTTTTCACTTTGAATCAACAAGAATGAGATCATTTCTGAGTTAAAAGTAAAAGTAAAAAAGAAGGAACTACCTGTATGAAGCTGTAGAAGAAGGGTTGCTGTTCCCGATTTGTAGATTATGTTGAAGATAGGGCAAATAGTATCAAGGATCTGACAGGCTTTTTGAATCAGCTTGAAGCCAAAAGAGAAGAAGTGGAGAGAGAAAGCAAGTGTGCAGCCATTGCAATGTGTGCGCAAAATTACCTGAAGAGAGATCGAGATGTTGAATTAAAAGGAGGAGAGAGCGCCATTAATATATAATTTTCAAGTGTTTTTCTGTTTAAATTGCTCTCAAAACGAGGTATTTGTAATGACGTGGCTGTTGGATTTTGCTGGATGAGGACCATGCTGAAAGACGGTGGGATCACCTTTGACTACTTTTGTTATCACTGGATAGACCTTTTTTCACAGTGAAACGTCCATCGACTTGTAACATGGGAAAGTGGTAAAGGGTTAAAATAGATTGTCGTTAAATGTCTTATCAATTAAATCGGTTACCATGTATTTTAAATTTTGAGATGTCACATATATCATGTATCAAGGTTTTGAAATTAACGTTACACAAAATATATATTAGAGTAAAATTGGTTACAATTTCATGCAATTTATCCTTTATTGTGTACCAAAATAAAACAATGGAGATACTTGTCAATGTACAAGTAATAGAAAATGAGATGAAATATCAGTTGATCACGAAAACTAATATAAGCTATATACGTTGTGTTTGTATTTTGAACTCCAATGTAACTCGACATTTCCGACATTAAATTAATTTTGTATTTCTAACAATAGTGGTCGTTTATTAATTGAAATAAGTATTTGACTCACAAATTGAACAAAATTACATGGGTACATGAATTTCATAACCATTCCGATGTCTACCGTCTCAAATTCAAACCCTGTGTATTATGACCATGGTTCTAAATAGCTCGTCATGGTGCGTTATAGCACCAAGGCTTGGGTTCATCAACACGTTAACCTCTACGGCTCCATTCTAAGGCTTGACTTGCATTTTAATGTGTTATGGCGCGTTACGACGCGTTATTTTGTAGGTGTGGGGTTATTTTAAAGAGAAAAATGATAATTGTGTACGAGACATAACTCCTAAGATTTAAATAAACGTAAAAGAGAAATTTTAAAACTAAAACCTTAAATATGTAAATACCTACTCACATTCTCGTACACGAAAATTTGAACATGAATTATTTGAAAATTGAATAAAGTAATCGGTAGAGATTCAAGAGATTTAATCATGATTTTACACTTTTGATATCATTTTTTATAAGCTCTATATATTGAGTATCAATGGTTCTTTATTTTTTTAGTTTTATTACTTTATATGAATTTAATTGTTCTACTGCATTATTTAAAACATTAACACAAATAAGCATATATAAACATTTCCTTACCTCTAAGCTATCAGTACATTTTGATATTTTTTACTCCTATATTAATTTTATTGATTTATTTTTTTCTTTCTTGCATTTTTTTTTTCCGATTTTTGTTTTGTTTTCATGGAAACATTTTTTTTATCTAAAACTAATCATATTGATCAATTAATACTTTTTATGTATTTTTGTTTTGAAAATCATGTGATAAACTGATAATATTTGTAAGTATATTGTGCCGAACATTTTTTTTAGGGAATTAATAGAATCAAACTCTACATAAAACAATTTAGATCACTGACTAATTTCAACTTACAACCACAAATAGCTTTTGTTATATTTTCTAAAATCAAACCATGTATGAAATTGTTTTTTTGTGATTTCCATAGTCATAAATATGATTCTCGAAAACTATTTTTAATTTTGTATTATATTTCTTGATTCGATGTTGAATCTCATAATTCCAATTTTGTTGTCACTTGTTTAAACTACATAACACTCGCTACTCAATGATGTTTAAATATTTAAAAATACGGTACACGTATAGTAATTAAGTTTCCTAAGTTTCAAGACAAATTAAATATCTTTATACGGTCATATACAATTAGTTCGAGTACAACCATCGTTATATGCAAGTTTCTAAAGTTCAGTTTAACTTGATGATACATTATAAATATTATATAACCATAAGATATGTATTACAAAAAATACATTTTCATTCAATAACAATAACAAAAATTGGCTTAGGTATGAGATGTCTAGCTTGATAAAATTTCAAACCCTTTAAAAAATAGTATGTCTCATTTATAGTTTCTAAATAACAGAGACATTATTTTAACTTCTCGTCCAGGGTATGAAATGACGAAATCGACCATGCCTTTTATCAGATGGGAATGAAATTTTATTTCTTGACATGAATGACGACAAAGATAAGAATAGAAACTAAAGATCATAACATCGAGATCGAGATCGAGATAGAGATAGAGATGGGGGTCCCTAGTACTCTCCATTCCGTTACCATCTCTAGTGTGAATTATTCGGACCCCATGAAACGAATGGGTTGTTGTTAATGACCCGATCCGATGGTTTAAGTAGTGTAACCACCACGTGGCCCGTCATAAATGCTGTTGATATCATCACATGAATTGTCGACCATTTGCACGCTATATTCCCTAATTTACATGCCTTATTTTTTTTTTTTTAAATAATGTCTGAGATTTTATTAAACATAAGATCTGGTAGATATATATACATATAATATAATATAATATAATGACATGTAAGAGATTCACCTAATCTATATTATTAAATAACATGTTTTTACTTGCTGAATTAATAACAAAAGAAATAATGGTTCATAGTTGGACTGTTTGAAAATACTGTTGGCGGGGTCCATCGACTTAATTGATAAGCATTTATATGTTATTTTCTAATTTCTACTACAATACATGTAGCCTGTAGGGATGGTAATTGTTTGTCTCAAAAAATGGCATAAAACCAATTTAAGGTTCATCGTGAAACTATCAATTAAAGATCGAGCCTTTAAAACAATAAATAAAGATAAAGAAAATGATACGTATATTTTATGACGCGGGAAACCCTGTGGATGAAAAAGCCTGCAGACAATCGTGGTCATCGTCAATATACCATGAACGTCAATATAAGTTTTGTAAACTGTATAGTTTAAATGATAAATTTTTAACATTTATATTTCATAAGTTACGAGTTCAGGCAGGGCAGACCTAAGAAAGTCCCAAGGCCCCGTGCACTTGTTCACAAGTAGATTTTTTTGTATGAAAAATGCATCTACTAAATTTTGAGGAGTTTTTTAGGATTATAGAAAATACAATAAACCAAAAAAGTACATCGAAATCTACAAACCCACCCCACCCCAAATGGTGGAATTGGGGTAGAGACAAACCTAGTTATAAAGCCCAACAGGGTCCTATACATCTGCTCAACCGATCTTCGGAAGTAGATTTTTTAGGGTATAAAAGGTGTACATGCAAAACTTTAAGGGATGCTTCGGGATTTTAGAAAATACAAGAGACGTCAACCAAAAAACAAAATAATTCCTTGAAATCAACCAAAAAACTAAAAATTAACAAAAAACTTCAAAAAATTCTCGAAATAAAAAAAAACTGAAAGAAATACCTTGAAACGGTGGAATCTGACTAAAACAATATAGAATGACTTTACAGGCCTTTGATCCACCTTAAAGATTCATCGTTGGACAAAAATCTTGGGTCCATCCTAGCAATTAATTAAAAATACATGAGACGACTTTATGATCAACTTTTAATCCACCTTAAAATTACATTTACTCGACCAAAATTACACAAATTTATTTAACTATTAACTAAAATATGGGTAAGATTTACAGAACACGAAGCATGTCAAAGATTAAGATATGAAGGGAAACAAAAAAGAATATTCCATAATGGGTTTGGATCTTTCCAAATTATTAGTGGACGGGACCACTTCATTACACTCAAATAAGCAACTTCAATGCTTCCTGAATCTC